GCGACTCGGAGGCTAACTCGGTGCCGACCACAGGCGAACCCAAAAAAAGAAAGGAAATGGATCTGGATGAGGAATGCAGGACATTTTGCACACGGGTAGCCTCATCATGGCAGGGTACTGGTGTTTGTAGCTGCTATTACATAAATAAAATAAAATAAAATAAAAAGAGGAAAAAAGCGAAAGAAAAGAGAATATTTCTTATCTTATCTTATCTTCTATACATGAGCTGTAAACTACTAGCCCATCCTTCCATTTCCACCTACATCTGGGCAGCTCTGGAGCACTTTCAAGGATGTAGGTTGGAGTAATTAACCCTTTTTTTTTTTGGTGGGGTGCATGTGAAGCACTTCCACTTTGATGTTGAATTACTTAGTTTTGACCAAACAGGATTCTTTCTTTGTACATCTACAACCTGGCATTGTGATTTTGTTTTTGAAAGTTTGATGATAACTTACAGTAGTTTTCATGTGTGAAACTATGACATGCAATGCTATAAAATGAAAAATCTCATCCCATTTCCCTTTGCATGATTACCATTCCATATAATTGCAGCTTTGCTCTGGATCTTGGTTTTTCTCTCATGCATAACCTTTGTAAACAACTAGAAGTCATCAGAATCTCCATCCCAGATAATCATACAACCATCTAAACAAGGAGAAAAAAACAAGGGACACACCAGCTGTACAATATTCTTTCCATTAGATAGGGTAAAATTTTCTGGGTGATACAGTCAAGTGTAAGACTTATGCAAGTGCTTGAAAATATCTTACACAGAAAGACATAATCTATCCAAAGCTTCAGTTGAAATTTCAGAAGATTAACAAGCCACAATTTAAAATTATGTTTATCAAAGCAATGAGGTATTACTCTTTTATTTCAAGACTTCAAAATTCTTGTACTCAGGAGTTAATTTCATCCAAAACATGAGAAATGTCTGTTGGATTTCTCAGGGTTATTTCTATGGGATTTCTTTACAATTTTTCCAGTTGTTTTGGCAGTTGACCAAAAATTGCCATAACCCCACATGCCATTTTGGTAGTTGTAAATGGCCTATGACCTGTGACTGTTGAATTGATAAAAATGGCACAGTAGCAAGTTCAGAATTCAAAAATGTCAATTTCAACTGATGTTGCTGATTTAACAATTTTTTTAACAGTAAAATGCATAAAAATTTGGTAGCTCATACTCATGTAATAATCTCAGTATAATGTCGATTTTATATGATGTAAAAATGTAGTGGAAGACTGCAGAGAGGGCAAGTATTACAGAAGCAGGCTGGAGATTATTGCTATCACATAAGCAAAAGCATAGCCACCTGCTATCACATAAGCAAAAGCATAGCCACCTGCTATCACATAAGCACATAGCCACCTGCTATTATGTAATAGCAGCTACAAACACCAGTAGACTGCCCTCATCATGGATTGCTATATATAAAAAAAGACCCAACCGCGAGTGGGTAATTCGGGTCTGGAAGCTAAAGGAAAAACTCGGATGGTAGGCTAGAAACCGGAGTCCCGCTGTCGTTCCAATTACAATCTTATGATTATCATTCGAGTGAGGATTCTTGCGAAAATACTTACCGTGACGAGGCGACAGCGCGGGTAAATGAAGTCATTTCGATTCTTTGGTACGAGGAAGTGTATCCTGATTTATCTCTGGGCTCTCTCAGGCTCACGAACGAACGAATGATGAAAAAGATGTCTATCACTAGTGGCATGTGAAGTCAGGGGACCTCAAAAAAGGGTAGGTACTGAGTACCTAGTCGGCGTGTGCTCGAGTACAGGTTGGGAAGAATGAAGGAAGAACTTGGATGTGGGTAACCACGCCCACACCCACAGCACAGTGCGGTGCGGGCGCTGCAGCGTGTAGTATGCGCATAGGCAGTCGGCCACATGTCTGTGAATTTGCTGCGTTCATTCTATTGCTCAGGGATTAATATTCACAGGGAAATGGGGTCCAACTTTCGCGATTACGCGCCAAACCGTGGTTGATCGTGACACACTCGGCATTTATGGGAGTGAGAATTCAAGTTGTGCAGTGTGTTTTTACGACTCGAGGAAAGTACATCCATATAAGTATCACTTGGGATAACAACAGATATGTAGGGTTATATGTGGACCGGCACCCAAAAAAAATGGAGAATAGATAAACCAGCATCCAAAACTGTTCGGCATTTTTGGGAGATGAAGGAGAATCTGCAGGGCATAGAACTATTTTTAGACTTCACATGTCGAACATGGGCAATTCCCATTCCCAAAGCCAAACGACGACTATGCATCCATTTAGGCATTATAATTATCAAAGTATATGTATCAAAGAACTATGCATGGAGAAAGATCAATTTTCTTGATTGGTATGTACGCAGTTCGAGCCCACAGGCTCGTCCACATATTCGGTGCTGTCTGGAGTCTATAATTCTGTAGGCTGCGCGCAGTGGGTGGGGAAGCTTGGCGGGACGTTTTTTTTTTTTGGCTAGTTTCTCATGTTACCTTCAAACCGCCTCTGCAAACGTCCACAAGCCCAGGCGTCATTGTCGAATTAAGATGAGCAAGGTGGAACTTACCGAATAAATTTAAAATTGAGGCGTGGGTGTGGGGTCTGTGAGATGTAGAAATACATATTTGACTCACGCTTGCTGCGGTTAACTTGATCATGACGAGCTCGGCGAGCAGACGTGGGTGAACATGGGAAGAAGGATGACGACTGGCACTGGTAAACACTACATCCAGCTTGGCGTGTTTGGTTAGGATCTTTAACATGTGGAGCCTGGCGTAGAAGGAAGATCCTACAACTTACAAGCCAAAGGAATCCGGACTTGGGGCGTTTGCTTGGAAAATGGCTCTCGGAACGGATCCGCGTTGAAACGTTGACCCCAAAAATCCTGACAAGACGTTAAACAATCCATATAATTGCACACTGAGCAGGTTATACTGTGAGTAAAGTGAAAGACTGCACCGCCCAACGAATAAATTTAAAAGCGCATCTGCGAACTGATAAATCCGGATTGTTCAGTAGTACACACGCCTACTTAACATTTACTTGCGCGCCGAACCGCGGTTGCTTGCTTGTGATTAGAACTCGGCACCGCATGATCAACATGACGCGCGATATGGAAGATGGAAGACTTACCAAGTCGTGCATTACGACTCGGAGAATCTTTCATCCAGCTTGGCTAGGGGGTCGATCCAATCCCAAGATGTGGAGTGTACAGAAGATCTGCAAAAGTAGTAGGGGAGAATGCACTTGGCTGCAAGAACGCCAAGGGTTGTCAGTATCACATGATGGAGACGTATTTGATGACGTCAAGCTCCTGGCTTTGTGCCCGACATCAGATTCATGGTAGTATGTAGAGTGAAGGTGATGCATCACCTTCGAGGCGCTGCCTGGGGATGCTCTTTGGTGCGCTGCCTGGGGATATGTGCTGCTTCGGGGCGCTCCGGACTCGGACGCGCTCCTTCAATTTGACAGTATCTAGAAGATGCGAGAGAACAGAAGCTGGTGTAGAGGATCTACAAAATCAAATTTAGGACGACACATCTATGAACGCCAGGGATGCGACTGCCATAGATGCATATCTGTAAACGTATAGACGTCAAGCTCTTGACCTGGTGGGAAGAAGCGACGATTTACGAGTCATTTCAAGTAGACCGATGAGTATGTCTGGAGGTCCTCCAGTGAATGCATGCTCCCCGGACATATTTTACCAAGAGGAGGACACATCTATGAACTGTCACAGATGTATAAACGTATTGACGTCAAGCTCTTGACTTTGTGGGAAGGACCGACGGTTTACGAGTCATTTCGAGTTCTTAACCAGTGCGTCCTCCAGTGCATGCACCTTGGACGGACGTATTCCCTCCGAGCTGTGCTCGGAGAGCAGATTGCAATGACGCGCAAATGACGCGCGTGGGAGTTGCGTACGGTCGACTTCGGTGTTTGTGGTCGTTATCTTGTGTTGTGAGCTTATAGCCCTTGGGTCTGTCCTCGGTTTGGGGTTAGGACGATTGTCAGAAAACATCCCAGGATTACAGCCACGATCTTATCTTGACGGATTGGCGCGCGTTCCCCACCAAGGCCTAGTGAAAGAAATGACACCTTGGAATTTGGATTCGATTGTGTGTAGCGCGCCGTGGATGGCGCGAATGATTAGCTCATAAGCGACTTGAGCGGATGCACCGAGTTCACTCGACAGAGATGGTTTCTTTGTGAGTGGACAGCGTGGTGTGGTTGTGTTCCGCATGAGGGCGTACAAGTGCCTGAAGGGGCCAAGCTCCAAGGGTGGGGTGGGGTAGTGTCAAGCAAAGTCGTGCGAGGCTCCCAGGCTGGAAATGAAATGAATGGAGAGAGCTTTTTGCGGATTGCTTGCCCCACGTATGGCGTATGAAATTGAAATTGAAATTAAGTTAGGACCGAGCGAAACCCGTGACGCTACAAAAATTATTTTTTTTCTTCCAGGAGTGCCGCCTGCAATAAAACAAAGCATGATCCATCCTGAAACTGAAAGTACTGAAAGCTTGGGATCCCTACATCGGTCCGTAACTGTGAGAGCCGCTGTGCCGTTTTTTACATCATGCATATGCAAAAGTGGTGATAAGGGCGATAATAACGCACGTAGTGGGAATTTCAGTGAGTGGGGGGTCACGGGGTACACTCTCGAAAATTGAATGGGTATCAAACAATAGGCCGGACGTGGGTGGATGGACGGCCGAGTGCTAGGCGTGGTAAGGTCGTGTGCATGTTCAAGATTTTTTTTTTTCGGATTGGAGACCGAATGAGCTTTGAGGGTGGGTAGGTAGAATGACATTGACAGGATAATTCTCGCGAGACTCTGATCAGCACAACCACAGCTTGATTGAGTTCGGGGGGACGGTCAAGGGTGCAGTCAATTTTGCACAACAACAGCAACAACACCGCCAAGAGATGTTATGTATGTTTCAAGCAGTGCACGTGATAGCCAATATATGCAGAAACTTAAAAAGAGTGGCAGGCAGGCAGTCATGAGAAAAAAGGGCGTGGGCGTGGCAAGGTAAATGGATGTCGATGGGCAAGAAGCAAGAAGCTTGAAGTGGTCTGGGGAGAGAGCCGGAGTTGTACGGGATTGCGGAAGTGATCGGGAGGCCATCTTTAAGCACCAGTTGTGCACGGGTCATTTTTTAACTTTCTCGCCCAGTGCACAACTGGCTTTACTACTTGCTTGTCTTGTTTCGTCCCCTCACTTATAACAATCTGGCTTCCTCGTTCTCATCAACAGCTCGACAAACGCCCCCTCCGTCTACCCCAGACTTGTGTCGTGTGCAGCTATCATGAAGGGATGTTTAAAGTGGCAGCACTCTCCCTCGCCGAGTCCCGGGATAGAGTGTACCCAGTCACACAAAAGCGTGGCTTTTGGAGCGCAAATCTGTGAACAGGTGTATACAGCGGACGAGTGGGATCGTACCCCTACCGAACCCGCTCGAAAGCTGTCATATCAGTAAGTCGCTAATTCGGCGGCACTGCTTCTTCTCTCCTTCCTTCCTTCCATTGGACAAGCTGTTAACTAAAGAGTACCAGGGACCTCCTCGAGCTCAAAGAAATCCAACGCTCACTCCCACACGCAAACCAGCCAGCAGACCCGCTCTCGGGCAGGGCAGGATCACACTACCTCTCCGCCGTACCCATCGGGCTCTTACCCCTCCTAGCAGAAAACAACAGTGACTCATCATCCTCCTCATCGTCGCAAAGCTCCTCACCCGTCACCTCACCCTCACCCACACCCAACTGGTCCTCCCGCTTCTCACCACCACCCAGCACCAGACAAGCGCCTCCAGCCCCACAGCAATGGCACCCACCCCACCTCGCCCACCTCCTCCCCGCACGCCCAACCCCGCAACGCCAAAAACCACGATTCGCGTTTCTGCCGTTGTTAGATACACCGCCTACCTCCCCGTATCCTTCTAACCCACCCTCACCCTCCCGATCGCCTTCACCGGATTTACATTCAGACGTGGACCCGCCTACGCCTTCTCTGACGAATGCGTCGTTGGATAGTAGCCCCGTATCGCGCGCGTCGTCTTGTTCGCCTGAGCCGCCTTCGTTGAGGTTGCCACCGCCTATCAAAGCGCGGTCTCCTATTCCTATTCCTTCTATCTCTCCTGGGCATCAGTTTAGCAATAAACATGGAGGAAACGATTCGTATTTTCCCACTTTCCCTTCTTCCACAACTTCGGGTTTGGCTTCAGATGAACCACAACCGGGGATACACCCCTCCCTGGCGATGACGATGTCCATGAGGCTTCACGCGGTACCTTCACCGAATTTGGTCCCTCCCTCGCCTTTGTCGCTTGGTCCTTCGTCCCTGGGAAATATCGTTCCACCGCTTAAACCTCAGAGGAAGAAGAGGAATTTTATTGTGGTTAATGATATTGAGATTGAACTTGACGATGAGGAGGAGGAGGAGGAGGAGGGGAAGAAGGAAGAGGAGGAGGAGGAGGTACCGAAGTCGTCGAATGTTGCTGCGCCGGTTCCAGAAAAACCAACAACGAATCGCTCACCAGAGCCATCACCCCCCCTTGCCCTTCCTCCGTCCCTCTCTTACGTAGCCACGAAACCCCAACTCACCACCATCCCCCCAATTTCCATTCTTCCTCAGCTCCCATCCTCTCCCCCACCACCCACCACCAACCTCAAAATTAAAGCTGCATCCGCGCCTGCTTCCCCGGGGACGGGGGCGCTACATGCGCCTATTTGTTTCAAGCGACGCAGTCCTCCCCCTTCGTCTTCTTCCTCCTCTTTGTCTTTGTGTAAGCCTGGGAATGGGAATGGGAGTAATGGGTCATGTAAGGGGTTCAGCAGTAGTCCTTCGTCGTCGAGCCCGAGCCCTTTGTTGGTTCCTTCTGCGTCGTGACGGTTTGGCGGTCCTGATGCTTTTGTTGAGGGGGAGGAGGAGGGTGGTCGGGAGGGTGAGGGTGGACAAGAGTCTTCGCTTGTGGACGAGTCAACCTCGACTCCAGAAGACGGACGGGAGATTTCTCTAGAGGACAAGAAGACAACATTAGCATTAGCATCAGCATCAGGAACGCCATGGTCTCTCAATCTTTACATTTTATTCTGGGGTTTCTGTTTGGTGGGTTTATTATCTTGGTGGGTGGTTTGAGGGTGGGAGATAGAGTGGGTTGTGGGTATTGTATTACCTCGGTTTCTTTCTTTCGTCCTTCGTCCCCCGTCATCTTATTTATTTTAGGTTTGATTTTTTTTACTTCTATCACCACCAGCCCGAGACGATACTATATTCCATTTCCATTTTATTTGCATACTTCGTATTTTCATTTGGCATCCCCTCATCCTCCCTCTTCCGTACGCTATAATAACATACGTACATGAAGACGTGCCACTCTCCCTTACCTATTACATTCACCTTCCCCCAATCCAATCAAAAATCATCGGTTAGCTCGTATAGTTTGTTGTACCCCGGATTTCATCTTTCTCGTCTCTTTTCCTCTTTTCTTTCCCCTCTTCCCCTCTTTTCCCCTCTCTCTTCTTCCTCTGCCTCGTCTCACATTGACTTGACCTCTCTCTCCATCTCCCTTCCCCGTTCCCAGGAGACAATCTAGACACAGGCTACAGTTAGATTCGTCTTTTCCCCTCTCCTCTACTAAATCCTCTCCCTTTTCCCTCCTCTATCTTCCCCATCTTATTATCGTACATACTAGATGAAGGCGAACTTCGAATTCAACGTGCCTCGATCGCGACTCGGCGTCAAGTTTTAATCTTTTATTTTAACAACTCAACTCAAGTGTGCGTAGTAGGTAAGGATTTGGGGAGGGCGTCTACTTACTCGGCTTTTTCCCTTTTTCGTTTTTTTTTTTTTGGATAGGTGTTGTATTTTTTTTGCACTGGCGCCTTCGCCAGCGCCTCCTCTACAAGTTGTACAACAGCTTGACAACAGCATTTTTTCGGCGTCAGTGCGCGGTGCCTTTCCGCTCAAGCCAATTGAAATTCCAAGGGACCTTCGGCTCGTTTTCGCCATGCTCCCCTAGTTTTGCTTTCCCAGTGCCACCACGTTGTTGTACCCCGCACGGTACCTGCAACTTGCAACTCGAGCGCCAACGTATAGGGAGAGCAAGACATTATGCCTCCACAGCGTCGCAAGTTTCCAAAATACACAACATATCGCATAACGCTCAGCCAATCGAACTTTCAAGGAACTTTCGGCTCGTTTTCGCCATGCTCGCTATGTTTTCTTTCCCCACCACGTTGCCATTGTACCCCTGCTGCTTACAACTTTCAAGTTGCAGCTCGGGCGCAAACGTATCGCAAGAGCAAGAGATTATACCTCAACCGCAAATGTCCAGATACAGAAACCTGAATGAGAAAAAATTCTTGACATGTCGCACAAGGTCAACTTGCAATTTTAATCAGCGTTAATCGTCGCATTCACGATGTTTACATGTCCAGATTGTGTACTCCTGTTTTCTATGAATCCGACTTGAATCCGACCACTCTTTTTTTTTTTTTTTTTTTTTGAACTTCTAGAAGACGGGCGACCGCCCACCTGTCTCGGTCGAAGTACCAGTCGGCCGTCTCAGATCTACTGGGATCTCCATACACACGAACTCACGCATGAGGAAAGGGCGGCCCCATGACGCCGCCCGTACATCATTTCAAATGAAAAGAGCTTCGTAAGACAGTTTTTCTATGTAACGTGGGTACTGAACTGCATGAATTCAGATAACAACATATCTCGAAGCCTCTCGCCACAGCACTAGCGTTATCTAATATCTTCTTGAATAACCAGGCAAAATCCGTCATCTCGCCCGTACAATCTACACTCTCTTGACATGTCCTCTGGGATGGTCTGTGGAGAACTTTGTCAACCACGAACGGTGGAGATTGTCCAGGCTTCCATAAATCAACGGCCCGACTCTCCGCTCAAGTTGTGAAAGAGTTCTCAACGGCCAACCCGTGGGCATGCTGGGATCCGAGGTTTCAAATTACTGTACAACCCTTGCGGAATCTGCTGGACCGCCGGCGGGGCGTCTTCTGAGGGTCGTAACCATGTTGAAAGCCGACTCCGAGTCCATTATGATGATGAGATGTTGATGATGGTTCAGGACCGCCGCTTACCCCAGTAAACTGGCGAGTCCCTTCAATCATGACCTATGACGCGATTTCGGGGAAACTTTGGATCGTTGCAGGCTTGCGATTGATCCGAGCTTGCTACCCTCCCTGGGCGCTACCTCGTCTTGGACGTGGTATTGACTATTTGGGTCGTTTTTTTTGGTGAGTGAGGATGTGAGTAATCGCGATATCGATTTGGTTCTCCATCGAATTCTGCTTCTGTGCGACGCAAGCGAGGAGTGGAAGATATAGATCTTGGTGGGTAAATAGTATCTATTATCAGGCGATTGTGCGGGTTGCTGACAGGTTTCCTGAAGGCTGGATGGAAGGTGAAAGAATGTATGTATCCTGATACGTATGTGTGGTGAGTGACGAATCGAGTATCTATAGGCGTGGATTTCATTTCTTTCAGATTCAGGGTTACTTCCGGGTTGCCTTGCGTTGTAATGTATCGACATCGGGCCGTCTGTGTATCTCCTTCCTCGCCCCGCGCGGCAACGTATCGCATCGTCGCGATTCAAGGTAAGGTCAGGTAAGGTAGCACTGGGGCAGTGGTTGATTCCGGCCGGTAAGAGCGTTATCGTTCTTTCGGAGATTTCGCAGTTCAATCTTTCTTTTCAGCTTCATGATCAATCGTCTTCCAGGTAGACTCATGCATTTGAAGGAAATGAAAACCTCGTTGGTTGACAGGTCGAAAAAGTAGAATAACAAGCTACACGATTTGACGCAACCTTGATGTTTGATACTCAAACCTTGGAATGGCGGTCATTGCGTATCGTCCACCTCAAGTGCGATGATACTTGCTACGAGATTGTAGATGGCCTCTGTTGAAACGCCACTCCTCCAAGTTACAACTTCCAGCAGGTTTTTCTGACTAAAAGGGACGAGATCGGAAGTCTAACGGCAGTAGATCTTTTTTTCCGAACTCAACAACCCACTAATTAGTAGCCTTTCGCGATATTTTATTTTAATGCCATGTAATATGCCAGTCAATATTCCCCAGACTTTCCGCCATCTTCCAACCAGTCCCTCGAACCTCAGCAATTAAAATACTGAATACCCCTTCATATACTTCATATGTTCTTATCTACCTACCAACGCCACCCCTTCTCCACGTTCATTAACATGGATCAATCGATCGAATCAATGAAATGTGCTCAAGTGAAATGGTAAAAATTGTATCGGAATCAAGGGTAGTGCCGTGTTTAAAAAGTCGAGTTGCCTGTTAAATATAGGCCGATCGGTAAAGTCAGGAATAAACGAAGGATGGCGTGTGTGCCCTGAGGCAGAGGTGGTATTAGAGGCGGTGATGAGACGGCCGATGAGGTTCCTGCTGAGGTATGTTGTTCAGCGGCGCAGAAAAAAATCGATTGGCTTTTTTGAACTTGAACACGCAAAAAGATTTCGCTTCACGTCCTATTTTTTTTTCCGAGGCAACACGGTAGGCTGAATCCTGATGTGCGGGAACAGCTCGACTGAGGTCTAGAGATAAAACGTGTTGTCAATTCCAAATAACAATATTCAGCTGTTACCAAAAAAAAAACCTCGCTTTGTTTTTCTTGCATTACTATAGCAGTCTTTTGATACTTCCGGCAAGTAGGCAACACACAGATTATGTGGTGCAAGCATGATTGGAAGAGAGAACCTTATTGATAGATGGAGATAAGAACATGAACTTGATGAGGCAATGATGAGGTTGACTTGTAGGAGATCTCATTTCTAGGCATTTCTCCACCCCTATAACCTAGTGTGACATCATCAGTCTCTTACGTACTAATCTTTTTGTATTAGTGCAAGGAGTGCTCGCAATTGTTGGATATTTGGTGGGATACAATTACTAGTTATTGCATTAAATGATTTTTTCCTACTAAACCCATAATAGCAGATCAATGCTGGCATATGGAATTTCATAAGTACTTTGAAGCAATAACATCACCTGTCTTAGACTCTGACTCCTACTCTTTTTCCAAAACTATTTTACCAGACATGTCACTATAGAGACGGAAAGCAGTAATCTACAGTTATAAAATTATCAATTCTGCAAACATAGATGAAACAATGACCTCTCCTACCGGTTTGGTTAATTTCCCAACATTGATAGGTGCAGGTTTAGAGGTACCTGCATCAATAAACAGTGGCTGGAGGAGAGTGCTAGTATCAATAGGTTGTTGTTCTACAATTTCATTGTAATAGATGTTAAGTGAGGTGAATTTGACTGACCATAATATTTGGAAGGAGGAACAACAAATGCTTGAAGCATTACAGGGGGGCCACAGGCAAAAAAATCTCTGTAGATGGTGGTGTCATTCATGACCATGGTGAAAGACTGAAAACACAAACTTCACTACAAGATTCACCACAGGATTAAACTGCTTCAATTTTGGCTTCTTGGGGTCCACAGTGCCTGATTTGGTGCTCAGGTATTGATGTTGGATACAAAAAATTATACTTACACAAAGCCAAGCATTGGTCAGAGCCTGTCATGTTCCACACAGCTCGCAATTCATTGGATGGAATCTCCATTTGGTGGAAAACCCTTTGGTCACCTCCCATGATGGTTTGCAGTATGATAGTGTCTCCAGGCTAGTAAGTAGGTCTTGAAGTTTAGTAAGAACCCTGATGATGGTGAAATGGGCTTACTGCCATGGCTGAGCATAGATTGTATGGTTGCAATATGCCTCCATCCAGCTCATCAACTCTGCAAAAACCCATTCTGGAAATATCATATATGATTCAAGATTACCTTGACTTGGAGGACCAATGAGAATAACTTACTGGCTAGTCCAGCAGATCGTGCTTCGCATTGTGCCTGTAAATGATTAGTCTGGGAAAGAAATTGGCCTATATGGTACAAACAACACTTTTCAAACTGAAGGATCTGAA